CCATCTTTTGTAGCAAATTTGCCAATGCAATACAACATCTGATTTCTTGACTGCTTGCTTCCCTGGGTGTTGATTGTGTATTTAATTAGTGATCACCCAAATAGAGTTCTTCTAAGGCAGACTTCCAGACTTTGCTAGGGGATAGAGGATTGTTTGAGAACTTGCAGAAGGTCAGGCCTCTTAGTCAGAAGATACAAGTGGCTGATCCTCCTCTTTTTCAGGTTTCCTGATAGCAAACCAAAGACAACAGGAGTCGGACCTGTTATACTTGAAAAAGGGATAGTTGTTGATAATGAAGAGGTAAGGAAAAACATTAGCAAATGCTTATTTATATTTCTTTGGAGATGCTTAGAGCCTTTCATGAACTGGTCTCACAAACTTCTCATTGGAAAGCAAAAAGAGGGTCAAGATTTATACAGAGAAAAAGGTTAATTTGTCTAACGTTATGAGAGAGAAACAGAGGCATATAGAAAAGATACATCAGCAACAAATCACAGCACAAAACACTGGAACCAGAAACCTACTTTAGGGCAGAGAGTGTTAAGCCCCAGCTCACCTAGACGTTTTTGCCACCTCTTTCAACAAAACTCTATTTGGTATTTCGGTTGCTTGCCTGGGTTTATCATATTCATGTGGATCATCCAGGCCAACTTTAATATTGTCAGCCAGAGGTAATGTCATTCAACATACCAAAACAGAAAACATATTCCAATTTGTACAGTCTTGTGGGAGACTAATTGGGAACAGAGGTGCAATACCCCAGGAAAATTTAAGAGTGAAAGCATTTTTCCTAAGATCATTCCCCACAAAAATAATTGTTTTAAGAGAATAATCCACAAAAGAAAAATGCTTCATAACTTTTCCCCCAAGTACATTTTTCCTAGACTTGTATAATTCTAAATATACTATACCTGCCATATCTGTGAAGCAGGTTTTTCATAATATATTTTTGTTTTTAATAAATGGACCTCAGATACTAAAAACCCACTGCCATCGAGTTGATTCTGACTCATAGCGACCCTATAGGACAGAATAGAACTGCCTCATAGAGTTTCCAAGGCTATAAATCTTTACAGAAACACTGCCTCATCTTTCTTCCATGGAGCAACTGGTGGGTTTGAACTGCAGACCTTTTAGTTAGCAGCCAAATGTGTTAACTACTACATCACCAGAGCTCTTTCAGGTACTAAACCAATCCAAAACCAAACTCACTGCTGTCGAGTCGAATCTGACTCATAGTGGCCCTCCTTGGCTTTCTGAGCTTGACTGCTAACCAGAAGGCTGACGGTTCAAACCCACCAGCCACTCCTCGGAAGGAAGGTTGGGCAATCTACTTCCATAGTGATAATGCCTCAGCAACCCAAGGAGGGGTCGCTGTGAGTCAGGTCCAACTCAACAGCACATAACAACAACATCACTATAGAAGCAGATTGCCCAATCTTCCTTCCAAGGAGTGGCTGATGGATTTGAACCACCTGCCTTCTGGTCAGTAGTCAAACGCTTTAGCAAAAGATTCCATCTTTAGATTGGTCTCATATTTCATCCCATCCTCCCTACAGAAATATACAGAGGGGCTCTGCTATTCTACCTCCTTGTCTTCTCCCAACCCCCAAGGTTATCAATAGCTGACCTTTTCCTTCTGCAGCTAACACCCCCACCCCATTCTGTTCCATTCTTCCCACTTCCCTCTTCTCCATTCACCTTGCTTTATTCTCCCTTTCACTGCATGTTCCCCATCTTGGTGTACAGACCACCAACCACACTACCTGCTTGGAGGCAGCATGATCTCTGGAAATGATGATCTAAAGATAGCATGTGCTCCCCTCCTCTGTTCTGCTTTCTAACAAGACCGAGGCCAAATTAGGTGGTTCTGAGCTCCAATCTCCTCGTGTTACTACACTTGGAATTATCCTCAGATAACCCAGGGCTGAGAAAGAGGACAGCCCCCAACATTGGGAGGCAGCAGAAGGGAGATGGAAGAGGCTCAGGGCCTTTGACACCAGACACGACCCTCCAACAATCCTCCAGCAACCCAAACAAAGTGGTAGACAAAAGTGTTACCAAAATTTAGTTAATTTTTGCAACATTTCTGGAAAAATCATATACTGCAGAGCTGTCCAAGCACATGAAATACACTGTTGTGTTTTGTTCCCAGGCCAGCCGGCCAAGTTGTTGTCCCAAGAACAACCTTCCACTCACAACCTTTAGACTTTTGCCCTTGCTTTAGGACTTGCTTTCTCCTTAAAGGATACCCCCCCATGTTGATTTTAACTTGATGTCACTGCTGCAGAAACGGAAAAGGCAGAAGAAAGGGGTGTGATTCCTTGCAATGCTTTGTCCCAGTCTAAATTTTGATGCTGCCCTAATCTACTGCACCCTCTACCTGACATTTCATGAGGGTGGTCTGTGTTTCAGTTTCCATATTTCCCTGGGAGGATGCTTCAAAAGAAGTTCCCCTTGCTGTGGCCCTTGTTCCAGAAACCCAGAGAGCAAAAACATGATGCCCAATGTTCCCACTTAATTTAAGTCTGAGACCAGTTTTTAGTGAGATAAGGTGGGATGAGGAACAACACTATCTAGGATAGTTGGACTTGAAACCACTAATTCTGATTATTGTCTCTAGATTTTTGATGGAGCTGGGCAATCAAAATTTGTTCTAGAGAACCTTCAGCATTGTACAGTCCATCCAAATTTGGTAGGTAGAAAAGCATTTCCCCAAGATGTCTAACAGCAAGCTTGGCCCCTGGTAGTTTTCCCTTCGGTCTCAGAGAGAGTTGCAGAGAAGACCTCACTTAGGCCACCTAGCAACTTCCGACACTGCTGTTTATCCCACTACGTTGGCTGCTACGTAACACTTTTTCAGAAGAATTAAGTCATAAACCAAACCAAACTCACTGCCATTGAGTTGATTCCTACTCACAGCAACCCCCTTTGGGTTTCTGAGGCAACAAATCTTTACGGAAGAAGATTGCCCTGTCTTCTTTCTGCAGAGTGCCTGGTGAGTTTGAACCACCAGCCTTCTGGTTAGCAGTCAAGTGCCTTAGGTGCTCCACCACCAGAGCTCCTGAATTAAGTCATATTGCTCCTTTTATTCCGGAAACTCTTCCATCTCATTCTGTTGGCAATGAATGCTCCAAGGGAAAGAAAGGGACAAAGAGCTTCAAAGTTTTTTGGGTAAACAAATTTCAGAGTGGATGTGTTCAGTCTGTCCTCTGCCCCTAACCTACAGAGGCAAAAGATCAGCCAATGGATAGGTTACTCTTTTCCTCTCTTGACCAAATCCCTTTCTCTCTCTGGAAACCTGTCTGTGCAGGCCCACTTCTATGAGCCTTCGAAGCCGACAGCCCTGCACAGATTCCTGGAACGAAACAAGAAAATCAAGAGCTTCATGTTAAAAGTAACAGAGTATGATCAGGATAAGACCTTACTGATCATGACCAACAACCCACCGCCCTGCCCAATAAACCTGCAAGGGAAGGACATCACCCCAAAATACTTCTCCAAGGAGTTACTGGCCAAGGTAAAGACACCTGAGGAAGTTCCCTGGCACCTGATACAGACCCTGAAGAGCTAGGAATTAGCTTAGAGGAGAGAGCCAACTTAACAATAGAAAATTTTAGTTCTCAGCCCTATATGCTTCACAAAATACAATCTGGAGAGCCTGGGAAAGACCAGAATCAGAGTTCTGTAAACTGGGGTCATGAAGCTTTACTGTAGATAGAAAAAGGGGTCTTAATTGGCAACTGCTCCTCTTTGTTTTTTTTTTACCAGGATTTGGGTGAAGATCCACAGAGCAAACCCACCTTTCATACAGCAGTCCACACACACCCCGTCCCATGTCATCGACCAAAATCCACAATGCAGCAGCTCCCCTCCCACTAACTGCTCCTCTTTGATTAAAGATATTTAGTTGTAATGGACAAAGAGTAAACTCACTTCTGGTCGAGAATGAGGTAGTAGAAGATGAATCAGGAACAGAAATGAGTGTCTAAATGGAAAGGAGTAAAGAATGCAAATTGCTCATGGATGTCAGGAGAAAGGGAGAGGGAGAGAGCAGGGAGTTTACTATCCCAATAGTCAGTTGTCTATTCGAGACCTTGTTAGAGGCTAAAGAAGTTCACATTCCATTCACTAAACAATTACTGAGCACACACTTAAAAAAAAACAACCCATTGCCATGGAGTCAGTTCTGACTCATGGTGACTCTATAGGGCATAGTAGAACTGTCTCACAGGGTTTCCAAAGCTGTAATCTTAACAGAAGCAGACTCCACATCTTTCTCCTGTGAAGCAGCTGGTGAGTTTGAAGCACCAACCTTTCAATGAGTAGACCAGAGCGTTTAACCACCACACCACCAGGGTTCCTAATGCTGACAACAGAATTAATTAATTAAGTGCCTATTGTCTCTTGGGTCTTGGAATTTGAACTCTTTGAAGTTAAGCTTTTAGGATACTGCCACAGAGTCATTTTACCGGGCTAAGGAATGCATCAACAATGGGACTCCATACTCAGAGAAATACACATAGAGAAAGAGATAAACACCAGGCCTGGGTGTGTTGCTCTAAGTAGAGAAAGAAATAGAAAGCAATTGTGTAACCTTGATGTTGGAGGAATGTTCTTCCATCAGCTGACACTTGGTGAACCTTCCTGATCAGAGGCAGGACCAGAGAGTGTGCATGAGCAAAACTAGGGTATCAGCCAAATATTTGTATCAATGGACAGAGCTAAGAATCTGATTGTCAAAGACTGGTAATGTGATAATTTTACATGGCTGTCTAGAACAAGAATGACCCCAAGAAGATAGACATGGCCAATGTCTACAATGACACAGTGATATTTATACTGTATCCCCTCCTTCCCTTGCTGGACAAAGGTGAGATCATGCTCAGGAAAACATCCTTATACACATGCCTACCTGTAGGCCTGTATAAGAAGAGTGTGGGTGCTAGCAGCCAAGTTGTGGAATGTATCAGACATGTCTACCATGGTGTTTGTAATAGTGGAAGTCAGACTTGATGACCTTTCAGATCCTCTCTGGAAATCTTTGATTCTATGACCTTTGGTAATGATGAAATTATTACTTCACCAAACATCCCATTCTGTTGCCATTCACTGCAACTAAAGTGGCATGTGGCTGAGGCAGCCATCTCTCAGAAAGGAAGATAGTGTCCCCATGGCTCCATTTTCCAATTTACCAAAGTTTGGGTTTTCTAAGCACTGCACTAATTGAATCTATCTCAAGAATGGCTTCCTGTGCCATTCACTTCAAAGAGCCAGTGGTCAAGCTCAGTCAACTACTTAAGAAACTGACCAAGCTTTGGACAAGTCATCTGGTAATGACACAGATAGATATTACCCTGCTTGGAGAAGAGACTCTTCTTGTTTCAGTTTCTGGGTTCCTATTTCCCTACGTGACAGGTTCTCTTGCACCATTTTATAAGAATTGGAACTTATCCCAGGAATGTAGGCCAGCCTTTATGTCCCAAAAGGAGCTCTGGTGGTGTAGGGGTTAAGGCATTTGGCTACTAACCAAAAGATCAGTGGTTCAAACCCACCAGCTGCTCTACAGAAGAAAGATGGAGCAGTCTGCTTCTATAAAGATTTACAGCCTTGGAAACCAATGAGGGTTGCTATGAGTTGGAACCGATTTGATGGAAGTGAGTTTGGCTTTTGGTTTTATGTCCCAAGGAACTCAGTTGACTCTCTTACTTCTTCCCTCTGTAGCAAGAAAGTCAGCAACAGCACAAACCCACTCAAGACATCTACCTACCCCAGATGCCTCAGAAGAAAAAGGGCAGGCCTTGGTTAACACCAGTCTTCCCCGTGACCCTGTTGAATGATCCCGCATCCAAGCGAGAGCAGTGGTTTAGGTAAAGTTCTGGCTTTTCTTGTACTCATTTTCTTTCCTATGTTTCCTCATTCACGTTACTATCTCTTTTCAATACAATTTGACAACACTTTTTGACTGTATGTTATACATACAACTGCATAACAATAAGACACAGCTTCCTCATATGACCTCTAATCTCATTTACACTCAAATGAAAGAGGAACAGTAATGCAAGGTAGAGCATGTTCAGAGCGATGGTTTGGAAACAATGACTTATGAGCACACAAAGACACTGATTTTATTCGAAGCTGGATTCTAAGAGCAGCTTCTATGCAGTTTGGAGAGAAGAGAAGGGATTCTGAAGTTCTCCAAAGGTTTTACAGGGTGAGGTGCTGGCAGCATCCCCTGTCTTTGAACAATAACCCCACTTTGTACCAATCACCACTCTTGGGCCATTGTGGCTTTTTCTCCCCCAGAATCTCTTAGAATGTAGCTTACTTAACCCTCTGCCCTAGGATCTACTAAATGAACTTTCTTTGTTAAGGTTTTCCACTGACAATGATTTCAAGAGTGAAGGGAAGTATTCAAAGGCCTATGCTTTGCAGAAACAGAAAAAAATGTACCCTCAGCTCACCTTTTCTACCGTCTGTAAAAGAGATATGAGACAAGATGGTAAGCTCCTTTCTTTCAAAGCCATGGTTTATTGGACTTGATATGGATTGGTGGTGGGACTTCTGGGGACTGGAGACAAGGGCATGGTGACCCTAAAGAGTATTTTCCCTTGTAGCATAGAAGCTAGGAACTGATTGAGGCTCAATTGGCACTAGGCTTTGGACCCCACTTATAGCCTTAAGTTTCCAAAAAGCTCTAGCAGAGCGTTCCCAAACATTACCACCTACCACATGAGTCGTTTTTGCTGTAACAGTATTTGCAACTTTTACTTAGTATTTTTCTTTTAAAAGATTGCTTTTTGTCCTTGTTCTAATCAACACTCTATCTTCAACATCATCAGTCTGATATTACTAATTATATATTTTTCTGGAACACATTAAATCAAACTCATAAAAAATTTTAAAACATTTATGTCCAACCTAAAATCATCCAATTGTATGCATATCACATTCTGGGAAAAACTGGTCTAGAAGGGCCAAAGGCTAAGTCTATGAGTCTCAGAGGTCCTCAAGTCTCTTTGGGGTTGGGGTAGGGCCTGGGCAGAAAGGACTTGGGGTAAAGCTGCAGGGAAGAAGGTGCAATAAGAATGTTCCTCACATATCATTCATTAGCATTTATGAGGTGCCTACTAAGTGTTGGACATTTATCAAAACAAACATCAGTAATAGCATTTTCAATATGTGAGATAGATAAACTAACCAGATCCTAAAGGCTCTAAATTTTATCCAGTAGGCAATTGGGACCTATTTTAGAGCTGAATACACATTTGTGTATTATAATTCACAGGTTCTCAGGCTTCACCAGGTTATGGCTTCAAGATAAAGTCCATTTCTCCTACTAGGTTTCTCTCCTTAAGCAATTTTTGAGACTCTCTAAGGCACCTGGTCTATAGTTATCCTTGTGGTTGACTGCCTAACAGCTTTGCTAGCCATCCTCAGCCCAACAGTCCCAGAGATCCAAGATGATACTATCCCATCCCTTAACTAATTTCTTCAGGCCTCTCTGCTCCTATTGGTCAGCCCAACCCACCCCACCCACTGCCTGTCATAACTCTATAACAGCTCAAAGCAAGCTGTGCTGGTGAACAAAACTTGTTGGGTATGGCGAAGAGCTAAAAAGCAGCAGTCTTATCTTCCTTAAAAAGAGGCTACTTATTCTCTGCTCAGCTTCAAACCCAGCCTCAGGTCCTCCACACTTCCCAGCACGCCTCCAGCACATTATCCCTTCCTGGGACTCTCCTGGCATATCACCTGTCTTTGCCGAGGCTCTTAGTACACTTGGCTCAAGGAAAGGAAGAGTTTCTCCCATCCTCCCCCAAACCTGTTTCTTCTCAGTTCCAGTACAAATGACAATGAGAGAACATCTATTTCCTTCAAGGGAAGTTCCCAGCTGGGAAGAAGAGTTTGGACATCGTAAGCGAGATAAAGCAAGCACAGTAGCTGAGTCCGTTTAGTAATCAAAAAAACCAAACCAAACAACTGCCATTGAGTCAACTCCGACTCATAGTAATTCTCCTTGGGTTTCCAAGGCTATAAATCTTTACGGAAGTACATTGCCTCATCCTCCTCCCATGGAGTGGGTTATGAACCACTGACCTTCAGGGTTAAGCAGTAAAATGCCTTACTTGCTATGCCACCAGAGCTCCTTCTGTTTAGTAAAGTTGGAGTTAAATCTTAAGTGATACCATATGTAAGGATATCAACAGTGCAGCTTAAATCCATATCTAAGGGAAGAATCTGTCTAATTTTGCAAGTATAATCCTTGTCAAGGACACTCCCAAATCACATTTCTAAACGGAATGCTTAATATCTTGATCTGCAACATCTATTAGGTTGATGGTGATTTCACATTTTCCTTAAAGATCAATGAGTGGATATTTGCTTTATTTATGTTATCTAATGGGCTCATCACAGTGCTTTTGCTAAACAAGGACAATCTACTTGAAGTTGAATCAATGTCTGCACTTGTGGCAGAAGAGAAGGCTAGCAGTCTCCCTTCCCCCAGTAATGTTCCATGCTTACCAGGTGTCCAAAGAAAGAAAAAGATCATAATGATTTGGATGGGGGCCAGGAAGGCAGCTGTCTAAGAGACCAGGGATGAGGACATGTTAGCCATAGAGAGAAAGGAACAAATTCAAGAGCTATCTGACAGGTATAACCAGAAACCAAAGCAGCTGCTGTTGATTCCGACGGGGTGCTGGGTGTTCTGGGCCCTGGGAGGGAGCACCCTATTTTGGGTGTGTTGAGTATGTGTGCTCCATAGGTTTTCCAAGGGCTGATTTTTTTTTTTTTTAATTGTGATTCGGGTGAAAGTTTACATAGCAAATTCATCTTCCATACAGCAGTTCACATATACTTTGTCTCATGACATCGACTATAATGTCCCACAATGCAACAGCTCCCCTCCCACTTCCTCCCCATAGTTACCTCTTACCTGTGTCCTTCCCTCCGGTGCACTCCTGCCCCCCAAGCTGTCTCCTTGTGCACACACAGCCCTTCTATTCTCCCAGGATTGATCTCTCCAAAGAGTGTTATCTACCTAATGTAAATGTTCAGCTCATATGCCTGTCTTTTGTTTGGCTGAAAGACACAGTAGTGGGTTCAATTCCAGACCTGAAGGGGAGCTACAGGTCATAGTCTCAGGGGTTCCACCAGGCTCTATCAGACCAGCAAACCTGGTCCCTCCCCCCCCCACATGATTTTGAGTTTTGTTACACATTGTTCTCCCTCTCTATCCAGAATCTCCTACATAGATCCCCCTCCGAGTGGTTGACAGTGGTAGCCAGGCACCACCTAGTTCTTCTGGTCTCATAGTCATACTAATGACTGATTATTTTTGAAATAGATCAACAGGTCTTTCTTCCAAGATGCCTCTGGGCAGACTCTGGGCAGCTGAGCACTTAAGTGTTTGCACCACCCTGGGAGGTTTACAAAGTATAATGCGTCAGAAAGGTGGGGAGGGATTGGAGGAAGATCCCACAATGGAAGTTTGAAAGAACAGAACAGATATTGAAGGAGAAGCCATAAAAAGTGCTACTACTGAAGCCAAAGGTAGAAAAAGTTTCTTAATTACACTCTGACAAAAGAACCGACAAACAACATACACTTTAGGAGAACGCAAAGAGGAACTTGAATATACAACATGAATATAGAAGTCTCTGCAAGTTAGCCTAATAAGAGTTACACAAGAATATGGCTGAAGATAGAACTCAGAAGGGGCGGGATTAAACAAGGGGACTCTAAACTGGCACTGTGGTTTAAGCTGGAATCCAGAATAACAACGAAGGTTGGGCAGGGTGTCCGGGGTCCAAAATCTACCCTCTTGGTTATAAGCCCAGCTTTCCGGTCACTCCCGCCTAGTGGATCTCATTCCTGTCTTGCATCAAGCAGTCCTGTAGAATCCACATTCACCTCAAGGCGCCCTGTGCTTTGTTGCAGCTTCCCAGAAGTCAGAGAGTGCAGGGCTCGTTTCCAAGGCCATCTGGGAACCACTCACCCTGTCATCGCTCCTGGAAGAGAAGCCCACCAGAACTGTGCCCGGGGAGAGTGCCTTCCGCAACGGAAGGGCCCAGCAGTGGATCATAAACAATGCCACTGTCATTAAGTGAACACCAACCCTCCCGGCCTCGGCCTCCAGAGACTGAGGGGCCTGCAGACGTCGCCAACTAGGGCGTGCCAACCAAATAAAACCGCCTTCCTGCCTGCCTCGGGCGTGAGCTGCCGGGTCTCTGGCTAGGTTGGCCGAGCCCGCTCCCCGCCCAGGCCCCGCCCTATGTCCCGCCCCTCGCCCCTCCCACACCATGCTAGATGAGGAGGAGAGGGCGTGGTTGCAGCCCGCACGGGGCCAGAGCGGCGGCCCGCAGCCAGGGGCGGGCCTTCTCTCCGAGTGACGGGTCGGCCGTCCAACCGGCGGGAGGCCCCGGGGCCGGCCTTCCTGCAGCGTCTTCCGCTCGCCGGCTGCGGCGCCTGGGACTGTAGCGGTGGGTCTGGGCTCTGGGAAATCGTCCAAGATGATTAAAAAATTCGACAAGAAGGACGAGGAGTCTGGTACGCGCTGGGCCGCTCACGCCCACCCTCGGCCGCGGGGGCCCCTTCCTCCGCCTCCCGCACCTGCTCCGGGCGCAGGGGCCCCGGGGGCGTGGGCGCCGGTGTGCGCGCGGCCCCTCCCCTCGCTCCCGCGGGGGGCTGCCTGTGGCCCCTCCCCCGACCCGAGCCTCCCCTGGGAGCCTCTGGTCACCTGGCCCCGCGCAGCCTGGTGTGCGGGCTTCCTGGCGGCCCCGCCCGCGCCCCGCCCCCTGCGCCCCGCCCCCAGGCGGCCCCCCTCCCGCGTAGCCCCTCCGAGCGGCTCCTGGTGGGGCAGCCGGGAGAGTAGGCGGGCCCCTGGCAGGTGGAAGGAGACGGTGCGCGCGTCTGAGAGGCGGGGGTGCTGGGCGTTCTGGGCCCCCAGAGGGAGCACCTGTTTTGGGCCTGGGGTCGACGAGAACAGTATGCGTGTATGTGTACAAAGTTGAGGTGCATTCCACCTTAGAGTCTAATTTGGGACCTGTCCCCTGACACATAACTCTGGCATCCAGAAGTGAGTTTGGTCTGGCTGCTCGTCTCTGATGCAGTGGAAGCGGGGAAAAGGCCAAGCCACCTCCACGTTCTCAGTGTTGGATAGCCACCCTGAAGCAAGGGAGGGATGGGGTCGGTTCACCGCCCCGGGCCTTTCCAGCTTTAAGTTGCTATGATTCTCTGTCAAATTCTTGGTTTCTGCCTCACTGTACATGTGATAAGCACATAAAGTAGTGCTTGCCTTTAAAGAAATCAGAATGCCCTGCCATCATCTCATTAACCTTAACTGCTGTGGAAAGGACAGGTATCTGTAACGTTCTTGTAAAAAGAGGGCGGGAAAAGAAGACATTCGTTTCAGGCCGGCTTCCAGCCGGAGAGAGCTATCTTCCAGGATAGCAACGGCAGAGCTAGTGCCAGAATGAAAAGACCTGTATTCCATGTACACACCTGTTAGTAATGATGATCACTGAGCTAGGAGCCTTTGTGGCGCAGTGGTTAAAGCGATCGGCTGCCAACGGCAAGGTTGGCTGGTGGAACCCACCAGCAGCTCCGCTGGAGAAAGACGAGGCATTCTGCTTCCTTAAAGATTACAGCCTTGGAAACCCTATGGGGCAGTTCTACTCTGTCCTACAGGGTCGCTTTGAGTCAGACTCAATTAGAGGCAACAGGTTTGGTTGTTTTTTTTTTTTTTTTAAATCACCTGATACCCAAGTGGTCACCTCACTTAAATGAGATTTCCCAGCATTCAGTACCCTTTTGGTGTGAATGCACTTGTGCAGAACAGCTGTGACGGACATTTTTTGTTTTGTGATGTAGGTAGCGGCTCCAACCCCTTCCAGCATCTGGAGAAGAGTGCTGTCTTACAGGAGGTATGGCTGCAGGTGCACTGTGCCCCTTTCTCTCTGGTTCTGGTTTAGAATGGGGGGCAGAGAACCTGGAAATGCTGTCGGCAAGGCCTCCGCAATAAGCCAGAATGAAGGGATGTAACTGAGTTCAGAGCAGGGCAGCTTGAGGGAAAAGGGGGCTACTTGCCATGGGAGAGTTGAGAGCCTTTCAAAATGTGAAGAGGTGCAGGCTCTGCTACATGTTGGGAATTTTAAATATCCGAAGAGGGGTTTGGTGTGAGGTTACGGTAGGAAGTTATAGCTTTCAGCTCCCTGTGTTTATGTGACATATACATGATGTCAAAACTTGTGATTCATTATAAACATTGATTCTTAATTACCAGCTAAAGCTCAGAAACTGAGTTACAAATACAGAGGTAGGAAAATCAAGGTCATATCTAATAATGTATCATATCCATGGTAAAATTAAAACTAATGTTATTGGCTATTGTGGTTAAAATGTTTAATGGTTTTTATTTGATTAAAGTTGGTTGCTGTAATCTGTGATGGAAAAGGTGGACACCCTCCTCTATATTAATGTTATTGCTGTTTCCATAGGCTCGTATATTCAATGAAACACCCATCAACCCAAGAAGATGTTTACATATTCTTACCAAGATTCTTTACTTACTGAACCAGGTAAATGGTTTTCAGCTTTCCCCAGATCTGTGCCCTGGAATAGAAATACATAACATGCAGTGGAGTACTTTCTGGGAAGTATAATTATTTATTTATCTACGCATACGTGAGACTTCTTAAGGACAGCCACTGTACGACTTACTTTGTATTCATGAGGTGCTAAACCAGCTAAGTACATAGTCGATTCTCAATAAATGCCTATTGATTTGAGTTTAACAGAATCAAAAACACCCCAAACCTGTTGCCGTCAAATTGATTCCAACTCACAGTGACCCTGTAGGACAGAGTAGAACTGCAGCAGTCTTTACGGAAGCCGACTGCTACATCTTTATCCTCTGGAGCGGCTTGTGGGTTCGAACCACCAACCACTCTGTTAACAGCCAAATGCTTAACACTGTGCCACCAGGACTCCTTTGAGTTTAACAAGTGCTAGTTAATGTGAGGGAACTCTGGTGGTGTAGTGCCTAAGGCACTTGACTGCTAACTAGAAGGCTGGCAGTTCAAACCCACCAGCCACTCCTCGAAAGGAAGGTTGGGCGATCTACTTCCGTAGTGATGTTGTTGTTGTTGTTATGTGCCGTTAAGTCAAACCCGACTCATAGCGACCCCTCCTTGGGTTTCCGAGGCAGTATCACTACGGAAGTAGGATTGCCAACCTTCCTTCCGAGGAGTGGCTGGTGGGTTTGAACCGCCAGCCATCTGGTTAGCAGGCAAGTGTCTTAGCCACTATGCTACGGTAGTGATACCGCCTTGGAAACCCAAGGAGGGTTTGCTATGAGTCAGGGCTGACTTGATGGCACATAACAACAACAACAACAACAGTTAATGTGACACAGTGGTTGTGGTGATGGGCTCAAGCGTAGCAAGAATTGTGAGGCTGGCACAGGACCAGCCAGTGTTTCACTCTGTTGTACACAGAGTCGCTATGAGTTGCAGGCAACTGGACGGCACCTCACAACAGCAGTTAATGTGAGAATGTGTGTTTGCATTTGCTTAGAGATCTTTATGTCCCTCCAAAATACAGTGAAAAATCTTAGACACATTCCAGATAGAGGTTGTACCTTTTTTGGGGTGCCGAAGGGTGGAGTAGATCATAGTGATATTTTAATATTCAGATTTTATGTTTATTATTTCTATACCACGGTTACTAGCAGTATGATCCTGGGCAGGTAACTTACCTGTTTGGGCCTCAGTTTCCTTGTCTGTAAATGAGCACTGTGATAGTACCTGTTTTGTAAAGTGGAAATGAGTAAAGAAGAGGTATAAAGACCTGAGAATTGTGTTTGACACACACGAAACTTTCAGAAGTGGTTTCAGGTGGACTATATTTGTTGTAAGTGCGATGACCGTGGCTTCCAATTTGAATTATCTATGAATATTTTATCTTTATTTCATGACTGAAAACCTCATCCTTAGAGTTAATAAATTTTTGTAGGGCGCAAATGGAGATGGACATTTATATTAAATAAAATATATCTGTTCAGTAAATATTTGTCAGAGAGAGGAAAATGTCTTGCTAATGAGCCAATTGGGTACTCTAAGTAATTGTAAACTGCCTTTCATGCTGAATTCTCCACGTCTTCCATCAACATTTTATTATTCCCATGACAAATTGACTGAGGACTGGTTAAATTTTATGTGAACTCTGAAGCTCTGAGAAGTGAATGTATCATATACAATTGCTTTTAATGAAAAAATTAAATATTGAAATGGTTACATTTCAAGGAGTCTGGGATCGGTAATGGTTTGAATATTAGTGGAATAGTTTATCTAAAATAAACAAACAAAAGTGGCTCCCAGCTCTGCAGCATTTGCATCACTGGGAGCTGGTTAGAAATGCAAGATCTCCAACTTCTCTGCAGAACTGGATCAGAACCTGCATTTTGGCCAGGGCCCTTGATGATTTGTTACACACATTAATTAATGTTGGGGAAGCTCTGAGCCAAAGCGTGTTTTCAGGGCCCCTAGCCAGTGGTTTGAGATCTATCTGCAGCCCTTTAAGCCTCACTTTGTATATGACTGAGGTGGTTTTCATTGGTCCCCTTTGCCACGTTTGCTGGGACCCCTACTATATAACTGTTGTCAGCTTAGTCTTTGCTGTCCTCCCGTGATACTCCAGGCCTTGTGCTGAGCAATGGCTACAGAAATGTAGAAAGTATGATCTCTGCTCTTAGGTGGTGTAACAGTAACGTGCTGTTCTCACTACAAACTCTGCCACTGTCGTCTGCTGCTGCTTTGTAAATCGCAGTTATTTAGGGCAGTTACAACAGTTCTTGCTGAAAGGTTAAAAGACTGCTATTCTGGGACTTTGATAGCATGGTGTATGATACTGAATTGTTTTAAATAAGGAGTGTATAAATGGCCATGGGAGTTTATAAATTGAAAGAAAAAATGGTGAAGGGGCAGAGTGTTGACAAAGAGCTTGCTTCCTTGAGTTTAAAAGACGCTGGTAGAAGTAGATTAAAGCGAAAACCCTTAATGTATTTTCTTTAAGTTTTAAAACTCATTTGAATTTTACTTAGGGTGAACATTTTGGAACTACTGAAGCCACAGAAGCCTTCTTTGCAATGACTCGATTGTTTCAATCTAATGACGTAAGTGTTTTTTTTTATTCTTTTAGGCTGAAAAAGCTCCTTTTTATTTGTTTTCGCCAGGGAACTTAGAGTTTTCCAAATTGGCAGGATATCTTTAAATGCTTAATATTACGGAAAAGTTGTTTATCTTCTTAAACCTAAATGTGTTCATTAGAGGACATGTGAAAATGAAAGTATGTAGGATAAAGCTGTTCACCCAGAGATCTGCTATCTAGTCACAGAAACAGTTGATATCTCGTTTCTAGTGTGAGACTGCAGAGATGGGCTGATGCAGAGGTCAGGGGACGTGGCTATGGTATCTGTAAGTTCTTAGTCAAGTTTCTGGTGCATCTGGGGCTGCTGTTGGCCAGTGGGGCTGGCGGTTGAGAAGAAGAGCTACATGGGGTGTGGAGAAGAGGTCATGGAATAGGAAGAAGAAGGGGTCTTGGGGAAGAGGTCACGGAATGGGAAGAAGAAGAGTAACTCACAGAGTTCTCTTTTGCCCGTTCAGAGCCATATAGGAAAGTGTTGTTTCTGAGAAACGTCATTTCAGCTTAGCCAAGATGATTTAGTTAAAAACTACCTCAGTTGACCCTTATCCACTTGGCATTCATGGTCATTTCTTTTAACCACGTTTAATTTCCAAATAATGGCAACAGAACAGTGATGCTGCCATTTTGTCATAAAACCACTCTCTTTATACAACAAAGCCATGCTAACTCTCTCCCCCAAAGAGGATACAGAGTTTTACCCCTTTTTAGGTGATGTTAGTTCTTCTAGCTGAATTACATTTGCCCCTGTGAGATCCCTTAAGTACTGATGTGTAAGATTAACTACTGTTGACATATTTTATGTTAAGTGTAGGTCGATAGAAGAGGAAGAGAAAGAGAGGAAAATAATTGTTGAGCATGTAAATACGTATAAATGTAATCATTTCACACTAGGGAGAAATACCCAAAACTCTGAATCCTCATTTCTAGAACTGCTCATTTGGTCATAGATAAAAAAAAATCTCTCAACTGTTGTCGAGTCGATTGTGACTTGTAGGGACCCCTCCTTGAGTGTCTGAGGTGGTATCACTATGGAAGTAGATTGCCCGATCTTCTTTCCAAGGAGTGACTGTTGGGTTTGAACCACCAGCCATCTGATTAACAGTCCAGTGCCTTAGGTACTATGCCCCCAGAGCTCCTTGGTCATAGATGGTCTTGATAAATTCCTTTGTTCACTACCTATTCCATATTCCCCTTTCTATCAGTGAGCACTTCAGCCAGTTCCTTGTCTGATATGGTGACCCAGCCTTTCACTTGGAACGGTCTGGGCCATT